CGCAGAACTCCGTCCACTCGTCTCGGGGGCTGGAGTGTGCCGCAGGTCTCCGTCCCTCGGGGGCCGCGGTGAGCCGAGGCCTGCAGCGAGTCCCGCCCCGCCGGCGGCGTCTCCCGGCGCCGGCCGCACGCGCCGGTGCCACCCGCCTGGAAGGGTGGCGCTACGCGGCGTCCTGAGGCGTCTCCACGCGTGCCGCTGGTGAATCCTGACCCATTTCGGGTCCGTTCGGCGCACGGAGGCGCATCGAGACGGAAAGTCTCGTGCAAACGAACGGAGCGACTGACGGCGGCCGGTTCCAGGGCACTCGGACGGCTCGGACGGCTGCCAAGTCACGATTTGGCGGCGCTGCTGCGCGGGCTCGGCGGCGGGCGCGCGCTTAACTCCCACAAACAACGGCAAGCGCGCTGGACTCAACGACAGCACACAGGACCACGCGCCTTGAAACGTGTATCCTGCGAGGGTGACGTTCACCGCGGCCCGCATGCGCTTCACAGCCGAAAAAGTGCTCGGTGTTACTTGTGTTTCGTGCCAGCGGGCTCGCAGAGCAGAAACCCATTTGTGTGGGGTATGTGGCACTTACGCCATGGTTGAGGTGCTTTGAACGGTGACAGGCAAAAGCATAACTTCACGATGGTTACGGAATAAAAGAGTCGCTATACTCACACCGCACCATCATACCACAAAATAGCAGTGACCTTTCACCACTGTACATTAATCAAGATTTGTTCAAAAACACTAATGTAGTGCCTCTTAACACTACGTGACTACGATCTTGAGCCAATGCGGCGGTAGCGGTTACATCAATCGAGGTTTGACACTTAATGCACCAACGGACAGTCCAAATTCAGCCTGTTCGCTCCTGGGCGCGAGACAACCACGTGACAGCGATAACAGCCAGCGCCAGCGGGTGGCACCAGCGATCATCGCATCGATCGTGTGCCACAAGGCAAGGCTGGCCGGCGCCTTTTATTTCCTCCTGCTCGTCCTCGAAGACCACAGGCCCATGAGCCCTTCGTGCCCCTCACTTACCGTGATGACTAGCAGCACGGTTAAAAGCCGGTGATCACACAGTTTATGACAGCTGAAATGACCCGTAATGACGTAGTGTAACACGAGGTCCACGTATGGAGCGTTCACCCTGAACCGGGCCGCAGATTCTCAGCCAGCGCTGGCTGTGCAGTGCCACTGCTGACAGCAGCTGTTTCTGTCATGTCCAGCAGCGCGAGCGGTGGCTGCAAGCCATTCAGCAGGCGAATTAAGGTCAGCATGCGGACGCCGAGTCGTGATACCACAGCGCTGAGACCTGGTTTCCGGAGATTGCCATTTAGCCCGACCTGTCCTGGCTGCGGCGGCAAAAGGCTCAGAAATGTCATCACTTCTCTGCCAGTTTCCATCACCAGACAAAGGAATTCGCGTAAGCTGTCTGATATTCCCCCGGCTCTAAGCCGGGGGACACCACACGGTGACAACTCCAAAGGCCGACGTCAAATGGATTAGGCCCATTTTTGCCCGGAGCCATCCGTCCGGGTGTTTCCTGCGGTAACGGTCAGTCGGCCGACAGGGCGACCTTCGGACCCCGCCGGCAGCCGGTCCGTGCCGATGGCTGCCGCGGCCGCGGCCGCACCCGCCGCCGTGGCCGCCGCGCCGACCTGTTGCCGGGCGCTGGCCGCCGATTTCGATCCGGCTCCGAGAAACGTGACGGAATTCGGTGAACCGTTGCTATCGTTTGTCAATATCAACAGCCTGCTTTATCCAAAACGAGCGCACGTCATCTTTTGTCCGTAAATAACTGAAAAGGCGGCGTGTTCGAACACGCCCAAGCCAACATCAAGGAAGATCAACTGATAAATTGCGGTAGCTGTGCATGGAATGGGTTGGTCATCCGCGCCAAAATTAATTCTCGTGCAAGTCGGCCATCTTGTTCGTGCTGTAGCGACGGTATTGGGGTCAATACTTTTGCTTTTGCGTGATCGAGGCTATGCAACTCTTTTATTTTGGTATCATCATATTAATAATTCAGAACACCCGGGTACCTCCACCTCAGTGACGGTGACGTGTACACTTTTCACATCGTTGCCAGCACATGCTGTTTTTTGTGTTGCTGAATTCTGTGAGCCAGGGGCAGCTGCGACCCTCTTGACTTAGAAAAAGCTTTTAAATTGCACACTAAATGCATAAAATACAAACACTGAATACTGTCATTTTGGATGCCATTTTTCGTTTCCCCGGCCGTTTCAGGTAAGTGCAAAGATTACGGCAGTGCACGGTCGGGCATTAGTAGCTATCATGCGATCTTCATTCGGGAGCTCGGTAGAGTACTAAGTTATCAATGAGCCCGTCCGCCGAGCATAAGTATCCGCGCTGTCGCCTGGGTGGGCGGTCTGTTTGAGAAACACCGCTCCGACTGCAGCAACGCCAGCCAGGAGCGCTTCAAGCGGGCGTTACAACAATGCCGGCGCTAGCCGTCCCTAACGAAGTGTCGGGTGCCGTTAGCTATGTCATATGAACACGGCTGCTGTCTCAGCTGACGCTTCCCACCGCCAAAAACTTCCCAGATGACAAGCTCTCCCACCCGGCCAGTGCTGGATCAGGTCAGCTGTCATGCACGAACAAGACGTGACAGGATAACGCTCTTACTCAAACACTCCGGGACAAGACACTGCACCCGAACACCAGCGGACATGCCAGCCTCCCTAGCCATGCGCAGTGGCGGGGGGGGGGAGGGGGAGGGGGGAGGCGACCGTCCTCACCTGAGCACCGCGGGATCAGGTAGGGCGGCTGGTAGTAGGACGGCAGCGGCAGCGGCGGCGCCTTCTTCCTGTGATCTGCAACTGAGTGGGTGCCGTGTCACCGTGCGGTGCAGGTGCGGCAGGCACAGACAGCGGGCGGGCACTCGCCACCCGACCGGTGACAGCGGCTCGTGCAGCGTGATCAGTGACAGGATGACCAGTGACAGAGTGACCAGTGACAGTCATCGGCAGCCGGGGTGGTCGCCATCGTGCCCGGAGCTCAGACAGACACAGTTGTGCGGGGCCGCAGCCATGGGCTGGGCGTGCGGTGCGGTGTCGGTGCGGTGCTGCACGTGCTGACGGGTCGGCACCGCGGCGGGCCAGGCCACTCCAGGACCCACTGCCGGTCGTTCCCTGGCCCCGCTGCCGGCCTGACCGCGTCTGCCCCCTGCCCCAACCGACGCTGCGAGGCGGTTGCTGTCCCGCAGCGGGCCCGGCCGGTAGCTGCGGGACGCTCGGGTGGGGGCACACGGGCGAAGCGGTGCGGCTCTCAGCGGCGCTGCAGTGCCTGCCGCATCCGGCCAGCGGCTGCCGGCCGGCCGTGACCGGGCTGATGGCTGAGATGAACGCGGCGGCTCAAGAGCACGGATCAGTAGCCACCCGGGCGGGCTTTCCCGCTGTCGTCCCGGCCCGACACTGGGAAGCCGGCCGCAGGTGAAGCGTTGTGATCGGATCTCTGACGCGCTGCTGATAGTCGCGGACGACAGGACACGGTTCGGACAGCCGCGGGAGGGGGACGGGGACCACGCGAAGGTTTCAGCAGAAGGAACAGCCTGCATTTCCCTGATCGGTGGGACTTCTGCACCGAATGTACGGCATACCCATCAATGCATTCTACCGCTACCGAATGCAGGCGAATGCCGGATGCAGGTGACCTGCCCTTCTTCAGTTTAACAGCCCCAGCGTAGACAAACGGCTCTGAGCGCGCCTTCACAAAAACTTCCAGATATATAACCAACATGAATCACTCGCTGTGAAATATGACACAAATGCTTGTACTCGCAGTAACGGGTGGCCCCATTATCGATGATGCACAACGTTTAAGGACGGCTGTAATTGCTCGAGTGGCCATCACGTTGTCTATAAAAACCAGACTGGAACAGATAAGGCACGCAGCGTGCGGTAATGAAACCGGCGAGCGCAGCCTGTTACGAGAGAGCTGGAATGGGGAAGGACTGAGCACTCGGCCGAGACAGGCGCCGGAAGTGTGCAGTTCCATACAGCTGCGCACGCCCCGGGGTGCACCTGCTCTCATCAGCGGCCGGTACACAAGATCTAGACTCGATCGCAACTATCGCTTGCGTGGAGTCTGGCGGCGCAGCTAACAGGAAGGTCGGCGCAACCGGCATTGGTGTACCGTAGAATGATGTAGGAACAGCACATACCTGGATATGATCTTTTGCTGAAGGGTAACTTACGACGGATTGGGCGATGATCCAATCCATACATGACAAGAGTTATAGGAATGCTGGAAAGCTGGCCGGGGCTCTGGAAGGCGCTCAATGCCCACAACTTCGCAGACGTCAGAATTGCGAGATTTGGAAATGGCTGCCTTGAAACAACGTCTATCTCATCAAACTTTTGATCGTTAGGCAGTCTCGGTGGAACAGCGGCTATCACCATGCTCTCAGTTCTGTTCAGTTAAGTAAGAGGGGAACGTGGGGATCTAAAGCTTTACTTTCTACTGAAGGGGAAAACAGGACGAAGCAGCCCGGTTCTGTTGCACTATTAACGTTGGTGTATCATTATGCATCACAAGCATTTCCCCGTTATCTCTGTTTGCATTGATGCAATTATTCCAGCCGACCGACAGCTTCCTCGTTTTCCTTTACATATGGGGAAGATGGAGGTCAGACTGGGGCAAAACAGGACATAGGCAGGGCAACATAGGAGGATCGGTGATGGCGCCTCCATCTAAGCTTTTAAAAGAAAAATTCCTCCTTCCCTGATAGCAAATTATTTGAAGCCCGGTATTATGGCGTTCCGTGTTGACAGCGTGCTATTCACCGGTAATCATACAGGCCATAGACGACCAGGTACGTTGGCACTGTGGTCCCATAACACCGCCGTAACATAACACAGCAACGATGCACAACATACCACTTGACACATTCTCTACCACCTCATTTAAGCGGCCCTGCGGTACATGAGGCAGGGACAAATTGACCGCCAAAAGCTTTGACTTGCGACACCCACGCCTCCTCCCTAACGCACGGCAACATCATCAGAAGTGTAGTCCGTAAAACATCGCGCTAAAGACTCGTGTGGGAAGGTATGTGCTTTTGAGGTGATAGCTGCCAGATGACCAGTACCATGTTCTGGTTCATGCCATGACCAGTACCACGCTCAAGAAAGCAGACTGTCGATCAAAGTTTAACTACCGGTTGCAATCTATTGTTGCTTCCCGGAAGAAGGGGTTCGCATGATGAGTGGAAGTAAACACAAACACGTTCTAGATGTCTCTAACAGTTAAACAGATACAGCGGCTTCACATTTTGCCTTGAATCCCTATCATGCCCTGCCCCCACCTCCATCAAAATTTCACGCACGTAAGCTAGACTTCGTTCCCACCCTTTTCAATTTTCGCTGTTAATTTCCTTCCAGAAGCAAAAACACGGGCACGTAGATTTTTCATGTACTCCTGATGTAGTCAGTGATAACTGGGCCATCACAATGCCTCGTTCTGAAATTTAGTAGCTTTACCCTATCGTCGTCATTACTCGTTGGCTGCTGCACATATCGATAAATGACGTAGATATATTGGGATTTAGTGCAAGACTGCATTTTAAGTTGTCATCGCAGTCATCAGCGGTATTATATATCGAGCGAGTCCGTGTGTCATCTGAAAGTCGGTAAAAAGTGTGTGAGTTCAGCGCGGCGTGTCCGCCTGTTAGGGTGAAAAATCACTGGCATTGTGAACTTTCGCATCCGGCGCCACTGCACGCCGATGAGCCCGGCGGCCACGCATACTTTGGTGTCGCGGCCGCGACATTACCAGTTCAACCAGTTCTAACAGCCTGGAACTGTTCCGGCGCAGATGGTTCAGAGATAATGGCCACGCACGGTGGATGTGTTAGCGTCCAGGCAGTCCTCGCAGTCCGTAATCTGCAGTCGACCAGCTGTAGCGCGCGGGTGTCGCCTACATCTGACCAACTACAACAGACAAAGGCGTTCCCAACTGGCCAGAGACTCGCAGTGCCAAACTCACGCTCCAGCAGAGCACGTTGTCGCGCATAGCGAAGGGAAATCACTCCGCTGCGGCGCCTTTATATCTAACTCTCAACCACGCCCTGCTTTCGTGTTTCTCCAACGGGAAACCGCGCGACGCTTCGCCCGCCCGCTTGCCTGCGCGCGGCGCCATGCATCAGCCACACGACATCAGCAACATCCAAACTTCTCGTGCGCCGCTGCCGTGCCGGGGTCCGGTCCGGCCCGCTCCGGTCCGGTCCGTCAGAGGTAGCGCTACCGCGGTGGTCCGGCTAGCCGCGGAGTAGACCGCGGCCGCCACGACGGCGGTCCTGGCTCGCCCTCAGCCGGAGACGGCCATCTCCAGCGGCACTCCCCCCCCCCCTCTCCTTCACCCTCAGCCAAGCGTGCCCCCGGCGAAAGGTGCGCAACAGGGCACTGCTATTGGCGGCTACACGCTGGCGGGCACGGCGGTGAAGACGCAGAGATAAACGCGGGACAGTCGCTCGGGGTGTTGAGCTAGGATAGGAGACATGATGGATCGCCCAGAGTAGAGACGCTGGAACGGCCGCGGCGATAACCCGCTAGGGGTGGAGACGCGGAGACGGACCCGGGCCGGATTGTCGCGTGCCGTCCGTGGGCCGTTGACGAAATCGCTTGGACGGCAGTTTTTTTCGTCAAAGGGCCACTGTGTGCTGGCTTAGGAGATTATCGTCTGTAAAAAGCCCCTTCCACCGCAACAAACAGGCGGACATGCCCCCGGGTTTACGTAACGGCGAAGCTTCTTGTCACTGGCCGGGCTGTGACGGGCTGACAAGATTCTGCCGGCCGCGGCCGAGGCGCGGATGGACGGGTGACGGAAGCGGCGGAGGTGGGCGGCAGGATCAGCCCAGGCAGGCCCGAAGGTTCAGCCGCAAAGGCGCCGGCAGGCGGGCCAGCAGGGAGGCCGGCAGAGTCAGCCGCAAAGAGGTCGGCAGAGAGGTCGGCAGGGAGGCCGGCAGGGTCAGCCGCAGGGAGGCCGGCAGGGTCAGCCGCGGAGAGGGTCGGCAGGGAGGCCAGCAGGGAGGCCGGCGGGGTCAACCGCAGGGAGGCCGGCAGGGTCAGCCGCAGGGAGACCGGCAGGGTCAGCCGCGGAGATGTCGGCAGGGAGGCCAGCAGGGAGGCCGGCAGGGAGGCCGGCAGGGTCAACCGCAGGGAGGCCAGCAGGGTCAGCCGCAGAGAGGTCGGCAGAGAGGTCGGCAGTGAGGCCGGCAGGGTCAACCGCAGGGAGGCCGGCAGGGTCAGCTGCAGGGAGGTCGGCCGAGAGGTCGGCAGGGAGGCCGGCAGGGTCAACCGCAGGGAGGCCGGCAGGGTCAGCCGCAGAGAGGTCGGCAGAGAGGTCGGCAGGGAGGCCGGCAGGATCAGCCGCAGGGAGGCCGGCAGGGTCAGCCGCGGAGAGGTCGGCAGGGAGGCCAGCAGGGAGGCCGGCGGGGTCAACCGCAGGGAGGCCGGCAGGGTCAGCCGCAGGGGGACCGGCAGGGTCAGCCGCGGAGATGTCGGCAGGGAGGCAAGCAGGGAGGCCGGCAGGGAGGCCGGCAGGGTCAACCGCAGGGAGGCCAGCAGGGTCAGCCGCAGAGAGGTCGGCAGAGAGGTCGGCAGTGAGGCCGGCAGGGTCAACCGCAGGGAGGCCGGCAGGGTCAGCCGCGGAGACGCCGGTAGGGAGACCGGCAGGGTCAGCCACAGGGTCAGCCGCCGGGAGGCCGGCAGGGTCAGCCGCGGAGACGCCGGTGGGGAGACCGGCAGGGTCAGCCGCGGAGACGCCGGTAGGGAGACCGGCAGGGTCAGCCGCGGAGACGCCGGTAGGGAGACCGGCAGGGTCAGCCGCGGAGACGCCGGTAGGGAGACCGGCAGGGTCAGCCACAGGGTCAGCCGCCGGGAGGCCGGCAGGGATGCTGAAGGAGCCGGCTCTGACAAAGCTGGCGGAGGCGGGTCGGTACCGTGCTGCCACCCGGTGCTCTTACAGGGTGCGGGCCAACCAAGGTCATGGCATCGTTCACATTCGTCAAATCGTGTATCCTGTCCCTGCCAAGCGATGCGTAATCTGACATCGGTGCAAAATTCCACCCATCGGTCGAGCCTGGTGTCTGCTGGCTCACGAACCCCTGGTGGCACAATCTTCAAAGTTGCCCGCTTGTCCTCCAAACGGACAAATCCCTCTCTTCACCTTTGATGAATCGTTTCGTGTGGCACGCCAAGAATCTCATTTTTCTGCCATGCAAATCAAGCATGATAAAACAAGGATGCACAGCGACGGGACTTTGTCAGGGCGCCGTTGACCGCCATGACTCGTGACTCGGTAGGTGGAAAGCCGGATGCATGATTCCGGCGTCACTTTGTGACAGTCGCCGTTCTGTGCGGCGGAATTTGTGTTTGAAAGCGGAGAATCTCAGAAAGGCGCCTATCTTCTTGTCAAAGGTGGACAGCTGGTAACTGGCCGAAAGGTCAGGCGGCTTGCATGGCGTTGAATGGCATGTAGATTTGATACTTCAGCCCTAGAACCCCCCACACCCGAAAACCTGTCCCTCGGACCAGAGATTCTCTGTGAGGGTTTTTTTCTGTGAGGGTTTTTTTTCTCTGTGAGGGTTTTTTCCCTGTGAGGCTAAAGGTTAGGGCTGGAGGTGAGAGTTCTTCTACAAGATAGTTCAGCACGTAATGTATCACATAAAAAACGTCCAAGTGCAAAATTCAGCCACGCCTCACAACTACGTCCTGCAAAAAATTGTGACCCCGCCATCGACGTTGACATCAACCCGGAGTTGTAACTGTGATTTTCCGACCAGGGCCGTGCTCATCACCCAGCTGCGTGGCCACGCACGGAACCATCCACCAACGTCGACAGCTAGGCGCCCGCAGTCGGGGCCGGACCGGACGCGCACCTGCAGGCTCATCAGACGGAGGCGGGCTCACCTGACGCCGTCGGCAGGCCGCGGCCTAGCTCTACTCACCAGCAGGCTGCACCTTGACGGGTCGGAAGTGGTAGAAGCTGGGCGAGCCCCGCGCGGGGTCGGCGTAGCTGAGGCTGAGCCGGTCCTCCCGGTCGTCGCGGTGCACGCCCTCCTTGCCCATGGCGGCCAGCTGGCGGCCCTTGGGCATGAACATGACGAGGAAGACGAGCGCGGCGTTGACGGCCAGGCCGAGGCTGACGGCGGCGTCCTGGTAGGGCGGCGCCGCCACTAGGCCGGCTACCGTCCACGTGCACCAGACGAGCACGCTGAGCGCCGCCGCCGCGCAGATGTACGCCGCCTCGCGGTAGTTGTCCTTGACGCGGCGCGAGCGCACGGCCAGGCAGGCCACCACCACCAGCAGGAAGAGCGCGTACAGCAGCGTGAGCAGGTGCGTGTGGAAGGAGGCGGCGCAGGCGCCGGCCAACACGTCGGGAGGGTGGGCGGCCAGCCACTGCGCCTCCACCACCAGCTGCGTCAGCACCACGAAGAAGAGCAGCAGCGCCTGGTAGTTGGCCGGCAGGTAAACGCCGGCGTTCAGGCTGATGAGGAAGACGCACTTGACGAGCAGGGCTGCGAACGTGAGCGTATAGGCCAGGCCCGTGCCGATGCGCGACAGGGCGCAGGAGGCCGGCGACGGCTCCAGCACGTAGGTGAGCGCGCTGAGCGATGCCAGCAGCAGGCCGGCCAGCAGCACCTGGCCCAAGAACACGTGGCGCCGGCTGGGCGACGTGCGCGCCACTTTGAGCAGCACGTACGCCTCGAACGCTAACATGACGAGAACGTTCATGGCGGCGATGACAATGACAGGGATGACCCAGACCTCCCGGCGCAGCGCCAGGCCCGGCGGGGGCGGCGCGCTGCCGGCCGGCGGCGCCGCCACGCTTGGCCGGACCTGACCGGGCGCCGAGAACAGCAACGGCGGGTCAAGGGCGCCGGCCGGCATGGCCGCCGAGCATCCCAGGCGCCGCCGACAGCCGCGCCGCGCTCACACCGACAGCCGGCTTTTTGCGATGCGTCGAGCCGCGTTTTTGCCGCGGAGGAGCATGCCGGCGTCGGCGCGTGCCGTCCGGGTGATGAATGCGCCGCTCGCGGCCGCGGCGCGGCGTCGGCGCCCGGTGCCGAGAAGCTGGAACAGGAGGAGACACGCTGCAGAGGAACGCTGGCGCGGGCCGGCGCTAACGGACGCCCGGTCGCCTCCCGGTCCATCGTCACGCCATTGCTGCCGTCGAAAGCGGGCCTGCGGCGCGGTAAATCAGCCCGCGTAACCGGCCGAAAGTCACAAATAATCTGGCGGCGCGGCGCAGCGGCCGCAATGACGGCGTGTGCCGACCGCCTCGCCGCCGGCGCCGCTCGGCCGGTTATGCCCGGCCCCGGCCGGTCATGCTGGCCCGGCCGGCGGCGGCCGAGCGGAAGGCCCCGTCGTCTCGGTGACCGCCGCGCCGATCCAACGACGCGTGTGTCTGCGGCGACTGTCCGGCCCGACCCCCGGCGCCGTGATCGGCCGCAGAGGGTCCCGCCCCTGGCGTGATCCGGTGGTGGAAGCTTCGGCGTCGAAAATAGAACCAATGCGGCTTTTACGGCGCTGTCTTCAGCCCCGGCCGCCGATCATCGACACGTTTAGCACGCTTCACGTGGTACCCGTCAGTGATAGCCGGCTCGTGCCAATCGCTTGCTAGCGCCTCGGCGTTTATGGTGCTCTGCGGTTTCGAAGTGCATGCGTCGAGCCAGAATTTTGCTGAAGGAATGAAAGCAGGTCCCAATCCCACACCCGACATGTCTACGGGCGTGACTGAGCGCACGGACAGAAAGGCTGCCTTCCGTGTGTGAAGGCCGTCCGGGAGTGAGATGACGGCCAGCTGTGAATGCGGCACGGTCAGCTGCCGCTGCCGGCAGACACGACCACCGCAGCTGGGGCCGTGAGTGTGTCGCCGCGCGCCGCCTCAGCGCCTGGCGTACGGGAGATCAGCCGCGCTTCCCCGGGCCAGTCCCGAGGTCTGCCCGCCGCTCACCGACCGGCGGCACTCGGCAGAGCGAAACACGGTGCGGCCCCGCCCCCTCCCCTTGCGCGAGAAGCAGCTGCAGGTCGCCACACGGTCCAGTGCACAGAACCGGCCCTCAGGCGCTGGCCCGCTTGGAAGCCGGCAACCCGGGGCAGCGCACCGCCCGCCGACGGCGCTACGGCGTGGAACGCGCGCCGTCGCACACGCCGCGTCACGTGGCGCATGTTCCCGAGCTCGGCGTCGCGGCACAGCTCCGCGTTACGTGCCACGTGCGCCACGCGCGCCGGCCGGCGGCGGTGCGGCGCGGACGTGCGGTGCGTGACCCGCGCCGCCTCACTTCCCCCGTCGTCCCCTTAAAGACCGGGCCGCGGTCAGCATCTCACTGCCGCCGTCGTCATTTTCAAGACCGGCCCGGGGTCAGCATCTCACTGCCGCCGTCGTCCCCTTTAACATGCGCTCGGGTGGGGTCAATTTGACCCCTGAAGGTTTTTCTCGGATGGTTTTCGAGCGGCATGGCGTAGCCGCGCCAAATTACGCATAGCTGTAAGTAATTGCATAGCATACCGTTTGGTGTATACATTTAGATGTATTTTGTAAGGTCGCTGACCTGCGTCAGGCCAAAATCAGGCTATTGATTCAGCAAAGCCAATTTCTAGGGAATCGTTCAATCTGATGCAGCGACGGAGTGTCAGACGAAACCGTACATCCCTGAGACACTTTCTTAGGCAACATGGTAATCGAATGCTTGTTGACACGGGGCTACGAGGAGGTGGTGGGGAATGTTCGTAATCGCGTCAGATGCAGCGATTTTTCTTGACGGTATGCAAAAAGCCCCTGGAACTACCTTTGACAGCAGCAGAGGCGCAGAACGAGACGCGGACTGCACGGCAGTTCTGGTGCTCACACCACACCTCAGCACGCTGGTAACAAAGCGCCTTCACACTGCGCAGCTAGATATTTTTGAGATGGTTCTGATTAGCAACGCAGCAGACTTTTAACGTTTCTGTACGGATACAATAGTGGGCTCAGGCCTGATGATTTTGCGTGTGAAGGGAGTCCGTGATTGGTCGGGGTGTAGGAACAACCCGGCGCGCCTGGGAACGCTAGGCAAAGGGAGCCACTGAAATAAGTATGCAAGTACCCACGATAATCAAAGAGAAATTCCAAGCCATGTGAATGGCAGAGCGTTACGATCAGTCTCACAATAATGAAGGCTCTCATGACGCTGACGGCAGGACTGCTTGAGTGACAGAGCCAGTACAGTACACTGATGTTCCTCGACTGCAACGAACATGCGCTTGACTTCGCATCAACACAGCTTTTGATGGGCAAGGAAGAGAAATTCTTGTAGACTTGATTTCCAGCGGAAGGCGTTTTACGGCGTGGGACGGGCGAGGTCGCAACAGACGCGAGTGTTGATATCCATCTGATCCGACGTCCTGATATCTTCATGGGGGGATGATATCAAGCCGTCCCGGCTTTCGAAACTCATGCAAAATGGGTTTTATTAATGCATCGCAATATCCTTTAGTGTTCAGCATGTAGTGGTCCACTGATTTATGCTTAAATTTACGCAATATGTTCCCGGAAAGTGGGCTGCCTTCGAGCTCAGCGATGCCTGGACATTTCAAAAGACTTGTTGATGAGTTAAAATGGTTTGCGTTTTCAGTTCCTGTGTTTTCACACATTGGAAACACTTGCATTCTCGAGGTGGATGCTGATTGTGGTAAACTAGACTGCGGGTCTGTGCAGGTTTCACTGCCCAGTCCCAGTTTGGCCCAGCTTGCAATATTTGCGGCTGGGGTATAACAACCGCATCAAGCAGGTCGCCGCCTGCTGGATTGCTGGCGTCAGTACAGGCAGCACGGTGTTAAGTTTGCCTGTGTTTTGTTCCGGCGCATTCACCTACACCGCGCAGCTGGTTTCGAACCGGTGCATTCACCTACACCACGCAGTTGATTATGTACCGGTATACTCACTTACACCATGCGGCTGGTTTTGAACCGGTACATCCACCTACACCACGCAGCTGTTTTCATGTCTTTATTCCCTCTTGTTGCCGAGATCTGACATTGGTCCTTACAAGCGCCATATAACCGCTGGATCCAGGGATTGTACTCTGGCCACATGCATCAACCCATCCGTCTTCCAGTATGATTGTCCGTTTTCCCTTCGGCATGGCGTTGGTCCTGCGCTGCTCAGGTCAGTAATGTCGAGATCAGATTTCGGCCGCATTATTAAGCTCACTTGCAATCTGCAAATTTTGTTTCTCAGATGAATCAGATAGCGAGATAAAATTGTTGCGAGTGCAAAATTAAACACGAGCAAAAAACAAGTACATTTGAAAAAGCGCAACTTTTCCGTTTAGTGCGTGTCAAAGACAGCTCTGTTCTCAAATATTCGCATGGCCGTTGGTTTGCGTGCACGTTCGTCAGGCTAATGGGAGTAAGATAATCCCGAAAGTTTTATGAATGTCTGAATGAGAGGAAGATAATCCCGAAACAGTTTAGAATGTTGACTAGGGCCGTAAAGTGCATCGCTTTGGTTTCAATGCATGAAAAATGATGCAAAGTTTATGTCAGCACCCAAATTCTTTACCATTCGTTCCCCGAAATCAAGAGTGGCACATCTTAAATAAACAGTCTTGTTGGAGAAGACAATTGTTTGAACTCCTCTTCCCTTCTGCATCCACTTCTACTGGAAAAGTCCTAACAATATAGCAACCTATATATATATATATATATATATATATATATATATATATATATATATATATATGAGTTAGAATAGGAAGTAAATTGTTGTTAACCATTCGTTACTAAAGCAGCTGACTTAACGTTGGTTACCTCATTAGATGTGAATTCAATGGACCATTTAAGTCGTTTCGATTAAGACCTAGGTCAAAGCCTGCGGCGCACACCTTGTTATACGTGTCGTGCTTTGTATCAGATAGATGCGCCGTGTATGTAAAATGCTGTAATTTTCGAAGTCCAAAATGCGTGGGTGACAAGAAGTTATTTTTGCTAACTTTGAGTCAATTTTTTAGTTTCAAACCGTTTAAGGTAATGCCATCGCGCTAAACGACACCCATCTATCCCGGAAGATATCACTGGGACTAACGAAACGTTAGATCTATGCGTTCTTATCAATTTTCTGTCCATATGATGTCTTTGTCAGCATCGGTAACGTGCTGCAAGAGCATTCAACTCGAACGAAACCACTTATACGGTTCATCGAATTAACATCTAAGAAGCTTAGCAGCGCTAGGTACCAAAGTCCGCTGTAGTTATTAATGATCTATATATATACCCTCTTCCTTTCTGGTCTCGCAACTAGTTGATTGCCACCAATTGCGATGCACGATATCTCGATATGCAATTTTTCTAACCATTTTAATGTTCAATAATGCCATGTACATCTTTTATTTTGTTTGCGAACAGCTAAACTAGCAAAACATTTACGACTGCAGATAGCTTAGTAAGAGCCGGTTTCACTTATGCTCCACTTTCAGTCGTTAAACACGCGTCGTTATCTGGCAACTAGCCATCTGGCGAATGGGGTGCCCAATCGCCGGTGATTGCTACAAAGGTGATCTCGCGGCCTTCCCACATGCCTGGAATTTAACCCGACATGTCTGTGAGTGACAACACAGCCCGGAATCCGCCAGCTGCGACGCGCGGTGTGGTTACGACAGCGCGCATGTTAATGAGCGGTTGACATGGGCGAAAAAGAAGTCTCTACTGTACATCGGCAATCCGCTATGCTGTGCGTGCAAGCTGTACAGGTACCCAGGCTCGCACTGGGTAAACGGTGTCACGTATGTATTGTTTTTCGCATTGGCACC